GATGGCGTGAACCACTGTTAAAATGAACGCTCCCCATCACATGCATATTTCAAAACGGTTCTTACACTAATGGGATCATTTACGGTGAATATAATAATATAAATCTTACTTTTAATGATTTATTCAAAAGCAATATGTAACCGTCTTCCATCCATCAGTCATAATATCATAATTACTCATATTCAATGACGCCAATTAAACATCTCCCATCCATCGCAGTGTCATCATATTTTTCACGGTATTTCCCCCTAAATCGTGGATTTATACAATGTATACAGAATGATACGTTAGTTTCCTGCAAATCAGAAACATTTCAAATGACTTCAACAAGTACATTTTTGTGAGCATCCACCATTGTGGCGGATCCACAACCAAATTTCGGGGGTGGGAGGTGGGGGGGGGGTGGCAAGAGGGTACTGTGTTTGTTTTTCCAAAAGGGAAGGGGATGAAGTTTATAGTATCGTGCGCTTTTTCCACATTTTATAGTAAAACTAAACATGTGTAGCTGATGACTTGCGAGGGAGATACGCAACGTTTTAATTTATTTCCTGAAAATTTAAAACAAAAAGGTGTCTTCACTCCTCCGATTAACAAAACTATAAACCACAGTTCTCTTTTTGGGGGGAGGTAGGGGTGGGAGAAGGGGCATAGCCCCCGTTGGTCCCCTCCCCCTGGATCCACCTATGATCCGTCCCGGATTGGACTGGCTTAATGAGTTTGACTTGACAACGTTACAGCTTCATCATTATAACCATGCAAGACCACTGTCTACTAAAGCAGTTACCCCCCCCCCCCCCCCCCCCCCGCATAAAGCGAATACTTCAGGATTTGCCTATTTTGATGTACATGTACATGTACATTTTGTTTTATTACTTCCATGTCAGCCCATCGTCTTAATAAACGTTTTGGTGAAAATATTCAGCTTGAACAGTTTGCCAGGATATATTTTTTTTGTAAAATTTGCCTCGTACACGTCAGAACAATTTATCAAGCAACAAATTGTTTTCTTAAACGTTGATGTGAAAATTACAATGTTGGACCCTACTACCGAATCAGGCACTTTCCCGGTTGTCTCAAGTTTACTCTTTCTCTAAAAACAAAACGACATAGCATTGTTTAATGACAATTAAAACAATGACATTTTACAACGGAATATATCTAACGCGAAAACTTAGGTTTTTAATTTCCAATTTTTTTTCACATGCAGTTCTAATAAAATATATCTTTATAATCTAAAACGATTCGAATAATCTGTTAAACTTTGATGTAAGAATGCAATTCACAACGGCGTCTCAACACAATTACCCACATTGTCACTGAGGTGCAATTATTCCCAAACAATCCCATCTGAAGAAGGATTTGCTAGATGGATATTAATTTAAAAAAAACGCCGTTGTCGTTGCGTCTCGTATGTCATCACGTTAGTCCTTAGTGTGTTCCGATAATAAATCGAAGGTGCAGTAATATGTTTTGTTTTCGGGGTTGTTTTCCCGCCCATGTCTTTGGATGTATTGAAATCCGTTTTTAATTGAGTTCCAAGCCGAGGGTTGATTCTCCTCACCTCCGCCGGAATGTTGTTTGTAAAGTTCATCCATGTGAAACCATTAATGCCTACTTGAGTTGTATCAACACTGCCACGATTGACATAAGATCTATGAGACTTTAGAGTATACTCTTACACGCTGGATATTATTGGCATATTTCATGCGATTGAATCAAGTAGATTTGTTGTCACGCACATAACCGTCTGAATTTCATCTGCTGGCGCACAAGATTAAACAAGCAACTGTACTAAAAGGCAGTGGCAGCAACTTGTACATTTCTATATAAATGCTTGGCTGATGGGGATTATACCATGAAATGTTCATTTATAAACGACCCCATGAAAATAGCCCTTCATAAGATGAAATTTGTTTTGCGTCGGGGTGTTGTATATCAAATTAGGTTGTGTCCTTACTATTCATAAGATGAAATTTGAGTATACAGTGTTAATACGTCGGTAAAGGGCAAAACCTAATTTGATATACATCACCCCTACGCAAAACAAATTTCATCTTATGAATAGTAAATGCGGTACCCGCTGCTATGTACAATAGATTCAAACCGGCCATCCGATCCCGTTAGCTCGGTGGTCAAGTGGTTAGACATCTGCACTAGAAAGCAGGAGGTCGTGGGTTCGAGTCCCACCCGAGTGTTTTTTTCCAACTTTCACTCGGGAGGTAACACACTGAGTATACAGTGTTAATACGTCGGTGAAGGGCAAAACCTAATTTGAAAATTACCCTGTTTAAAGATAATAATTAATTCATTTTGCATGGTGCATTTCAAATTGATAGTAATTTTACTTACTCCAACTGAGCCTTTCAATACCTTTGAGCAACATTCACCATGATAAATGAATGAAGAATGCTAAAAATGTGTCTGCAACCTTCCGAAAAAAGGCTTATATTCTCGGTTACTTTGTGCAAAAAAAAACCCCAAGATTAACCTGCCGCAAAATTAAAAATATCTGAAGTAATTGTTCCCATATATCTAAACGTTAGCGGATTTCCTCAATTCGATGTCTCTTTCAAAATGTAAAATAACTTTTGTAGTAAGATTTTGTAGAAACTTGAAAACAGAACGGACAATGTAGACCTATCTCTAGTAGGCTCATTCCGCTTGCCGAAGTTAAGATCGCTTGAACAAATTCTTTCTGAACTTGTCACGAGACACTCACTGGCGTGGGCGGATCTACCTTTCAGGAAACGGGGGATTTGTATGAAGGGGGGGTGAGTAAAGGCGTGCCAAAAGCACTCCTTGTTGTGGGGGGTCTGCGAGGAATTTTGCAATCTACGGTGCTTTTTGCCGTATTATAAGGCAATCCGAGAATACATTTAGGAACTTTAGCATTCCATTTATTATTTTTGGCCCTATTTTACTATAGGTTTTCCCGGCGAATTTCCGAATTTTTCTAATCATTTTCATTATCAGCCATTCAATTTCGCGTGAGTTTTGGGGTCCAATGGGGGTTTCTTTTTCATTTGGGGTTCATTCAATTTCATTTTTAGGCAGCCAAGATTTTGCTGTGAATGTTCTTTTTCGTTTTCGGGCAGCCTATTTCGTTTTGGTGCATTCAAGACTTAAATTGTAGCAGTCTAAAATTAAGTCTTTGCAACCTTTTGACGGTTGACGCATTCAAATTAGCGAACATCTGTGCGCTTATAACGTATAACCATGCTTTTCGTTTCTTATTCGTTTATGGGCAATCGCTTTCATCGTTTGATCATTTAAATTAGTAAGATTTTTTAATCGATTTTTTTTCCTATTTTTCTCCGAGGTTCATTCCCCCCCCCAAAAAAAAAATCTTGATGACTGTAAAATTTACAATGTTACAAATCAACTGATATGAGGGAAACAAGATGTAACGAAATAATGAATTGAAAGGGACTAAGATAATTTCTTTTTCAATGTTGATCTTTTCTACTTGTTTAAACGCTTTTTTACGTTGACGATTTCTTGACGTGCAAGACATCGGGACACGTAATATGTTTGGAAATGGTTGTACCGTCGGGAACACTTCTCTTGCGTTATTTTAAAAATGTTTTCTTGCGTATGTATGACCGAACACTTACCATATTCACAGGGCCCTTCTCCGTTTTTATGCTAATGCAAAGTTTCATATTCATTAGAAAACCTGTGATGGCATTTCGAGCATGATTAATGTTACACGGCTATTTCAGCGAAAAAAGTTGCTAGAATTTTGGATATTTTGCTGTCATAAAATTCTTTTATGTGGTGATTATATGATGTGTCAGTACATGGTAGTAAGCCATCCCATAACCATCCCTTTCCCACAAATGTTTTCAATTAGCAAATTTTGGATGAATAATTTGAAAGAAAAAAACCTAAACTGAACAGTGTCTTCCTGAAATGACATCACAGTAACAGCGTTAGTCCGGAAAAACATGGAAACTTTTAAATGCTTAAAGAAGTGCACATTTGCAATAAGATTAACCCCAAAAGTGTTGTCAAATGTGTAGTTTTCTTACATTTCACAGAGTTGCGCAAAAAGAATTCCTGAGAAAGATTCATTGCACATACCCTTTAAGAAAGAAAGTCAATCTACGGTTTGAAGTCATAACATATGATTTACGCTAAGGAATACATACGTATGAAGTCTTAAAAGATGTTTGACAAAATGTGAAACATGTTTGCCCATTAATGAAAACGAATGCCCGATCTTTCAATTTCAATCTAAATCGAATGAGCCAGGCGTTAAATTGAACGAAAACTTGGTGAAATTGGCCGAAAAAAACCTATAGTATCATAACATTAGTCGGCGGCTGACCGGTGGGGAGGGGGGGGGGTTGCAATCCCCCAACCCCCCCTCTAGATCCGCCACTGTTACGGACCGAAAAACGGCTGTTTACATAGTCTATACAAAAGTACCGGCAATGTATCTCGGGCATTCTTCGCTCGCTCCGTGTCATTACACTGATGAATCCGAATAAAATTTCTCCTATTTTTTTCCCTTTAAAAACAACACATTCGATTTTTGTAAAGTAAATGAGTCAAACTTTGTGTTTTCTGTTTATTTTTTTTTTACAAAAGCCTGGACCACTTGGTGTGGATATATATGGCGCTTTATATAGTGCAACAATATAATCTTCTATAGATGAGTTGATCTGTAATTTTGCCTGTTCAGTTTAGTCAACGCATCGAATAAGTATTTGACGTTAATGCCTTACACCTTGGGTTTTTTTTCAAACGTACATTTATTTTCGTAATAAAACACAAGTGTTGGGAGCCTTGTTTATAGAACTGAATAAATCTTGATTAATAACGAGGCCAAGACACTTTTAGCCAACTATATATACTCTCCCAAAAATAAAATGGAAGGGGCTAACCTATAAAATAGATCATAAATTTCTTAAACTATTCAAAACTTGTTCATTTTTGACATTATATTTTGTTGAAAGCCCCAACCGTTCATTGTGCTAAATATTAAAAAGACTCACCTGTAGAAAATCAACGCAAACACAGAGCTTTGGACCAAGAGAATCCACTTGCTAGGTGAGCCGGTGGTCAATGCAGCGATAGATGATAGGATGGACGAGTAGCGGCTGCCTGTGCGGTGAGATGGTCGGATTGCCTTCGGTATGAGGAGTGCGAATGCCCACCAGTGCAGTACAGCCTAATACGAACTGTGCAAAGGTCACGTGACGCATTGTAGGCGGTGTCATTTCTGGCTCCATCAGAGGGCTTATCTTACTAATAATTATAATAACGTAGTGACGATGGAGAACTGAAACATTTGATTGTCAAAATGACGTTGACTGAGTGCAGCACTTGAACTGCTTGTGTGCTGAACTAGTCGAACAATATATACGAGCGTATGCTCTGTAGGCCTATTGCTCATCTGTGCAATAAGTATTCGAAAAATTCGAAATCAAACAGTAAGTTTGTGGATCCAAATTTTATATTACAAAGCCAACCTTACAAAACTAAATAATGAAAACATGATATGGTATAATATTATATTATATTATCACTCAGCTACGGCTGATCGAATGAAAGCAGAAGATTGAATTTGTTTTGTTTTCTCCTAATATAGGTTTTCCCGGACAATTTCGGAAAATGTGCGTTTGAATTTGTAAAACATAAATTCAATTTGGCGCCGAGTTTGAGAACGACGTACATCCTGGTTTCATTTTCGCAATAACTAGCATTCGATGTCATTTTGCATCAATCAAATGAACGAATGTGCATAACGTTTCATTTAAGGGATTACAAATACGTGATTAGGTTTTCGGTTTGGCGTATGCGTTGCCGATTATTACGAATGTGCAATCCAATTCGCAGAAAATCGATTGTCTATTGTGACACAGGCTGAATTGAACATTCTTTTTCATTTGTTACAATTTAAATTCGCATTTTCGGCATTCAATTTAAATAAATTATTCAGGCCTATACAAATCATGATACAACTTTGATTCATTAGTTAATGATCCATTAATTAATCAATGTATGCCTTATTGATCATTAATGTGTGTGTTCTTATATACACGCCTATGTGAAATGTAGGCAAATGAAATGTGAAAATGATATTTAATATGACCAATATGAAATCACTCAAAATAATCTTGTAGCCATATTATTGAGACGGTAAAGGGACACATCACGTGTCATGTTACATGGGATCTGCATGGGGACTTTTTGAATATTCAAAAATTCAATCATTCAATCAACCATTCCTCAACTGTTACTTTAACACATAATTGAATTCCAATGCTTGACCAGGCATACGTTAAATAACACTGCGAGGGAAATCGGCTGCACATTTAGCGAAAAAGATTGATGATAAATTAAAAGGAAAACAGGATTGCGGATGTGCCTCCGATTTCGCGCTAAAATGAAATGTCAATACACTAAATGCAGTGCACATTCGGGAAGTCGTACGCTGATTTTTTACGACTGAATGCACTTTCACGGAAAAAGAATTATCATTTGTTAAATAGAAACAGAGATTTGGAACGTTCATTCTATTTCGCACGAAAACAAATGCTTCTTTTACAAATTCGTGTACACATTTTCCGAAATTGTCCGGGAAAACCTATAGTCAAATAATTCACAATTCTGAAAGGCGCCGTGAGTCGACTATTTTGTGAAACGTTTTTGCAGTGTTGATGAGGGGAACCAAGACGTCATTGACTGATGACATTCCCTATTGGATTGGGGATTAGGGCACGTTCGATGGGTTCAACCTGCAGTGTCACTAGGCCTTCATAACGTTGAACCCAAGCCTACGTATTGTCACATAATTGTACAGTGCTTTCCCCTGATTCTCATGTGCACGTTATTACCTCCCATAATATTGTTAGCTGCGGGATAGCAGTTCAACAAATCATCATGTCTCTCCGTTTGTACGTTAGTTAGTTAGTTAGTTAGTAACAAACGTTGACATTGTCTATTGCCCCAACATGTCACATGACTAGACTGGGTCAATGGTCATCATGGGGTCAATGGGATCAAAAACATATATATTTTGTTTAACTCAAATCACTATATTCCTTGCAGAAATTGCATGGCATAATCACGTGACTCATGCAAGAACACGAATTAGTTGGCCCGCAGCTTACGATATATGTTGACAGAGCTTGTTATCATACCGTATCGTTCTCTTAAACTTGGCCAGACTATCCTTTAGCGGGAGTATTCTGTAATCGATAGACGAGATCACTTTTAATTCTTGAAGATTTGCCTTTTACGGTGTAATGATATTTCGACAAGAAAGCAATCGATCAGATCACTAATTAATTCAATTTTATCACCTGTCATTTAAGGCAAGACGCACACACGGTGCCGTTTGTAAGGCGAGGGATAGCCGGGAAGACTACCATTTTGTTCGGCTTTCTGACATTCTAAGGGTGTTTTTGATGTTTGAAAGATTAAAATAATATAGAATCACTGTAGCATAGATATGAATTCAAAAGGGTTAAATGTTTCGTTTCCGTTTTTTTTTTACTAAAGCTACAGGGCCACAAGCCCTCTGGACCCTGACGTGACTCGGGGTCTAAAAGCTATTTTGCCATGGCAACAGATAGTAAGTCACCTTGGCTAAGTTACTCGTTGTAACATTCGACTACCTCGCAATGGTAACTGGTTCTCAAAGCGACCAACTCATCTCACCACGGAGGAATTGGGTGAAAGCATCGTTTGAGGCCTGCTGGTTCCCAAGACATGATAGGCCTAATGCAAATACCATTAAAGCATGAAACTAACTGCTTGATATGCCTATTACAATTCTAACCTATGATCCAACGGAAATAAGAATTTCCTCAAGGTACTCTCCAAAACCATATAATAGGCCTATCACTTCTAAAGTTATAACCTATATTGGCGGGGTGAGTTTGGTTCAAAGGAGCTAACTTTGTTTGCCTTCTGAAATGTGAAATTTAGCTGCTGATCTGGTATATTGAGTAACTTCTAAAAACAGTGATTTGGTTTCAAAGAGTATGCATGCGGGATATTATTTTCAAATATAAAAATTAGGACTCCCGGGTAAAAAGGTAAAAACTGTGAGCGTGTTAAACATCCTGAAAATGGGTTCTGTGTGCTCGCTACAGGGTGTCTGGACAGAAAAGATATCCATTTTTAAATATAAATGATCAGGAATGAACTGAATATTTGGTCAGTCATCAGTGACAGTGACGTAATGAAATTAATACCATTGGATAGAGAACATCCTGGCCAAGTTCACTGTAGTTGACTCTTTCTTTAATATTATACATTTCTGATAATTTACATTTAAAAAGAGTATCATTTTGCAATAACTCTTATCGACCTCTTGTCTAACACTAGAAAAACACACAACTAAAAAGACTCGATTTGTTCCTCAGTATACAAAAACACAAAATCTGAATTGATGGCAATTAAATATATCCTTTGTCCAAAATAGGCTCAAGAGATCTGAACAATTTTACGTGTTTTGGAATTATTATGAAATAATGACATTAGTATCATCGGTATTCAAGTCTTGTTAAAGAAAAGTATAAACAATGTAATTTCATTTCATTAATGCTTTCAAATTCGAAAACTCTGTGTATTCTGAAGGTTTTTCATTCGTCAAACGGCTAAAAACCAACAGATGTTGAGATATGCGACCAAAATCATAGTCCGTTCTCCCAGACTATCTGAAAGCAAAAGGCCTCGTCCCCAGGGTATCAAGCAGTACGCACCCACCATTACCTGCTCTCTCACCCTGGAGTTGGATTGTTTGCATATGTGCAACATTTTTGAACACGTATGCAAATGAGGAATAGTCTGGTGCCTGCATGTGCGTTTCATCAACGTTTGTGTTTGAATGCGGTGTCTGGGATAAAAACAACATCAATTCGTCGCGCCGTGCAGTTATGAAAACATGATTGTTTTCGAAGTTAAAATCAAACGGTTACAATGTTATCCCGCTCAATATGCAGTATCACATTTCATATTTAAATGAGCAAATTGGAAAGGAAAGGAGTTTTTTGAGAAGGCGTGGACGTTATAATAACGATGATCGTGAAAACACGTAATGCACGTTGGAAATAACACCAAATACACGATATAAATCCATTTACTAGCCAATTGTGGTATCGAATCAGGTTACAGGAAGAAAGTTTCCTATCCATGGTTAACTACTGGAAACGAGGTTGGAATGCACTTGGGACGAGGCTGAAATGATAGGCACTTGCCTTTTTGATGGCCAACTCGACCACGGGGCTTTAATGGGTTCATTAACAGTGGTAACGTGTCCTGCAGGTCGGAGTGACTGTCTCCGCGGTGACCATTGATGATTAGACACGCATAGTTGCACACGATAATAGAGAAATCAAATGCATGAAGCTTCGTGTCCATTATAGGAGGCATCATATTTCACCCCGTGTTCCGTTAGAATCGGAATGAGCGGATTGTTTCGGTCATTACAGTGAAATAATGGCCCAGCGATACAAATCAGTCCTATCCTGTAAATATAGTAACTGACCCAAGCTGATGGTGGTCAGAAATCAGTATCCCCATCCCAAGTTCAAAATGTACTCAATATAGTTTAAAAGCATGTACAAACATTTAACATCTTTTAGGTTGCCTGCGTTTGCGTAAGGTAATTAAAAGATAACATTTCAAATGCACAACAAGCACTTTGATGTGCACCCTCTGGGTATTTGCGACGGATACATTGTATGGGTCATGGCTATTAAACAACGTGCCCCCAAACCTGCTAATCGCCTTAAGAAGAAGAAAGTACACTTGGATCTGACGTACATTTCGGCTGATTAGTAATGCTGGAGGCATACCTGCCGTGCAAAACACACCGTGCGTGCATGCCTGCCGTACATCTGTGAACAAAGCTCACAGCGAACTTAAGCTTTATCTGCGAATTTCAATGCGCAAGCATTATCGGGGTTGGTTGACTTTTGAATTAGCCATTGGTCAGTCTACTGATGCGGCGTTCCAAACTGACCACATCATGCCGGCCGAAGTAATGAACTCGCGTATAATTATCAGGGAGAAGTGTTGAACACACTAATACGACGACAGTACAGTGAAGGCACTGAATAATAAATAGGGTAGTGCCTCCATTGCCGTTCACCCGAATAAAGTTACACCTTTGGGAATACA